AACAATTCTAAATGTTCAAGACAATAAAGTATCGTTATTCTCACCTATTTTTCTGTAAAGTTCCTTCCCAATAGTCTTTTTGGTTTTCAAAGTAGAAAGATAGTTTTCAGCAGTGAGCTTTATTACATGCGTGTCGACAGGTACAACTGAATTCATACGAAGCCCCATCAAACATACACAGTCAGCAACCTAGCGGCTTATTTTAATTTACTTTTTATCTATGAAGGTGATGTTTAACAGCAAGTCGAAAAACAAGTAAGAAGAAGCCAGTCACCTTTGGGCCGACTCCAGGTAACCCCTCTAGCATCTTTCTGGCAGTTAAATAATCCATTTCTGATAGAGATCTCAACCATATGATTCCTCCAAGTTGCTGTCATAAATTTTCAATTTATATTGTTGTAAAATTCTTATAATGAAACATTCTCGTGGCCGCTTCGTAAAAAAAACTAGTGTCCCAAAAGAAAGCGGAAATCTAAAACACAAAACTCATACTTCTAATTTCCGCACTGCCTGGCATAAATAAGTTGCACGATAGCCAAAGCCATTTTCCCGCAACTTTTCTTCCATTTTATCGTCAGCCACCATTTTCTGAAGATCAGCAATATCGTAGAAGTTCAGGGATGACCGAGATAAATCGGATACAATAGTAGCTTTGTCGCCATACAGTTCGCACAGCTTTTCAACCATTCCTAACTTTTCAAAAGAATTTAAGTCAGTTTCTTCAACACTACTAGTAAATTTCCAAGAAAAGTTTGTATAAAAATTACTTGTTATCCTTTTGATATTATTATTCGATGAACATATAAACGCGAGTAAGGTCTCAAACGGATCTTGAGCGAGAATGCGAACGCCAGTTAGATTTTCTTCATTTGCTGCCAACACTTGCTTGAAATATAAGTCATTCTCCGACCAAGTTTTATATAATTCTTGCAATGGCACTTCCAGCTACAAAACCATTTTATATAAGTAATGAGCAGCTTTTTGACAAAAAGTAACCAAATAATTACTTGGAAGTACTTCTTTAAAGTATCCTCATCGTCCCCTTTCGCTAGAGAAAAGTTATGTAGCACTTTGAAACCTATAGTGTTCTGGTCTTCCCGCCATATCTTCCATACCCTATGGTGTACAACTCCAACAAAATACCCGGAACCTAGTGAGCAACCTGGTTCCACCAAAAACTTTCGCCACCTACAGATAGTACTATTAAGTATAAAGTAACCAGCAATTCCTGAATATTATACCTAATTGAAACTGATACACGTAAATCATGGGCTTTTACAGCTCTCGACAACATGGAATTGTATTTTATACTTTCAGGAAAGAAGAAAGCATTTGCTTGAATATCATTAGACAACTACTTGTAAACCTTCAAATATTTCTAATCTGAGCAAATGATAAATAAAGGTTTATCTGCATTGAGCGCCAAAAATATCATTTATTAACTGAAAAAAATGCTGATAAAATAAATTTAAAAAACCTTTTAGCTACACCGTTTGTATTCACATCTTATAGATCAAATAATTGGATGCAGCGCTTAGTGTATCACTGAATTAACGGGTTTTACAAACACTGAAAACAGCTTATATGTGGAAAAGCGCAGCTGCGTACTTAACACTTCATTCAGAAAGCTTGTACGGCACTCCAAAATCCACTGTTTCTACTATACTTTAGCACGGCAGCTAAGCACAGTTGAGATTAAACATAGCGAACCGCTGCAAAGAATATATTTTTCTGCAAACTATGTATATCTCCACAGTGAACGATATCACTTTCTTTATTCTATGAAAAGTCCTTTTCAAGTGTCATTGCAAAAGCGCACTCAGAAACAAATGTCAAGCCACGGTAAGTAAATTAAATCTTAAGTGTGACTTAGTTTAGGTGTAGTAACAAGCGCAAATAGAAACCTGAACGATTGCCCATTTCTTAAAACAGTATCAAGATTGAGTTCGGAACTTGCGCACTTGAAATAAGTTGCTGATTTCACATGTTGACGCACCATTGATAATCAATCAAAAATTTCAGTCTAAAATATACAAAAAAAGGGAAGCAAATTATGGTATAAGTCACATACATAAATCATGATACATTCGGAAACGACTATTCAACGTTTCCAAATTGATCCCCCAACAGCCCTAAACACCATGCTGCCTCTTTGGAAAAACGACTGAACCAGCTGATGGTTTTCCATCTATATAAATACCTGAGCAGATATAAAATGAGCTTTAAGAACTAATGAAATTTCAAAAACCAACACTGACTTCCCTCGCAAATAAACTTGACACCACTCGTCAGTACAAACAAATCCTTTCTAGTTGAGTACAAAATTTTGTGGTAAAAAAACTCAAATTATTACTAAGACATTATCACGAGTACCAACAGTACTACCACAGAAATTTCGAAGACGAGATTAACCAGAAGCTGGAAAATTTGACCATTTTTCGCCAGAATAACATAGCTACGCTTTACCTCTTATGGATAACAGCCTTAAGCCTAAAAATTCTGTCAGAAAGGTTTTTTCTGAAGCATTATTATCTGGCAAAAATTAATTAGAAATTCACGGTGACAGACACCAGCTTCTGAATCAGTCATCTCATAAATTTTCTTTCTCATGGTACTAAAATCAAATTAACAGGATCTGTTAATGTGTAAAATCCAATGAACATATAGTACACTGAATTACTCCCACTACACAAAAAGCCTCTTTGGCTGTTTTTCAGCTCTGCAATGCTGATATATTTATAGAATACGTCCCATAAAAACAGCTTTACTTTTGTCATAACTTATAAGGACTTAAGAAAAGCAAAGCAAAACCTTTCTTCATCAAATATTAATTCCAAAAAGTTTTTTTCTATGCACCCAACTCCGTCATAATCGGAATAACATAAATTTCACTGTAACGATTGGTTATATCTTTTCAATTAGCCCTTTTCTGACTTGTAAAAAGCCAAACCATGCAAAATCAATGTGCTAAAATTTAGCACCAGCTTCATTTGCCACATCTTCTGGACTACTTCCAAGACAATTAAAGCATCATAACGAACACTTTTTACTTTTATATGTCAATTATAAAGATTTAACTTTGAAATATATCAGCTAATAAAACTACTGAAGAGCAGTCTTTCAAACGAAAACCATCTTCCATAACAACAGCAACAACCGGTCTTGCGTAATTCCCAAAACTCCATTAAATTCAGATAAAAAAATCTTTAAACTGTCGCTATTGCTCATTAGTGGCGGCCGTAGAAAATCAGTCTAAGGAAAACAACAACTATGTAACAATGGCGGCGGAGCATCGGCAAGGATTTACCGTAAGTAGAAGAATTATTTAGACAACATCCGTTTAAGTAGGCCCTTTGAAGGTGCAAAAAACAAAAGCTAAAAATGGAAAAATAATGAGTATAATTATACAAGATCCCTACCAATAATGCATAACCGATATGTTCACATACCAAGCCATTATTATAACTGAAGAACCCAGTTTAAAGGCAAAACCTTCGGACTTTTATGGCTGAAAATAATGTTCGCAGGGAAGAGCGGAAATTGCTGTTATTTCTTATGCGCCAATTTCTACACTTTTTTGACAAAAGAAAAGTATGATTATCAAATATGTTAAGCTGATAAAAAGAACAATAACAAAAAACAACAACAAAAGAAGTTGACATTAATCTTTCCTGAATTGTTCTTTGTAAACTATACTGCGGAAACAACAGCGAATAAGTGTGCAAATAGCCGAGATAATCAGAGTGGATGACTTATAAATGATCATTATTGAGGTGCTTAGTCCACTTCAAAAAGATCAGGGTAATCAGGAACACATTTTTTTTTTAATCGTATATCCCCAGTAGGAAGCTACACTGGGCACTTTTTTTTTGAAACTAAAACAGATAGATAAATCTATACGCAATCAAATTCAGTAGTATTTTACATGCATGAAAAAAAACAAAACTGAGAATCACGGATTCTGGACTATGACATTTCGAGTGTAGCAAAACTGTTTCATCTATTCACCATTAATAAAGCAAACGATAATTTCCGGTATCTGGTTGTATCGTCATTGTCCTTGTCATCGTCATCGTCATCGTCATTGTCATCGTCATCGTCATCGTCATCGCCATCGCCGTCGTCATCTTCATCATCAATGGACAGACGACAGGTGCAATGAAGAAGACTTACGACTGCACAATGCGCGCAATCAGTAGACAAAAAATAAGAAAAAACCAAAGCCTTATGTCCCCTTGGGCTGTTCCGAAGGCAATGCAACAAGCCAATTGGAAGCGCCGAGCAAACGGGTTACGCACAGCATTCATACACTGCACATATCGAGTGC